AGCGTGCAATAGAGGCATCACGCTTACCCCAGGGTGACGCAGAGCAAGAAAACGAAGAAAGGAATAGCCCGCGAAATACAATAAATGCAACAGGTGGGCGGCAGAGAGGAAGCCAGCAACGCCGCGGCCGGCCTGACGATACGAAAGCAACAGCAGAAGAGGAAGATTCTGATGATAGAAAGAGGGATATAGAGGAAGTCTCGGGCCAGCGGCAGACTCAACTACGCAGACAAAGACCAGTTGTTGTAGAGAATAGTGCTGATGATGAGGAAAGAACTGGAAACTTGACGGGTCACACTGAGAGAGCGCGCGAGAGCAGACGGCCACGCCAACAGGCACAGCGAGCACAAGAGGCGCCAAATGCACCCCAAGATGTTGAAGAGGACTCGGCAGAGGGAGAAGAAAAAGAAAAAGAGGAAGAAGGAGAGGAAGAAGAGGAGGAAGAAGAAGACAACAACAGGTCACAAAATAGAGAAAGTGCAGCAGGCGGCCAGCAGAGAGGAGGACTGCCGCGCCGCAGTCAATCTGCTGAAACGAGAAGGTCTTCAGAAGGTGAAGATGCTGATGATAAGGATAGACAGCGCTCTAGAAATAGAGAAGATTCGCGCCTGAGGCAGCCTCAAGGACGCAGGCAGCGACCGGCTGTTGCAGAAGAGGGTGATGATGATGATGAGAGAACTGGTAACGTAACGCATCGGACTGAGACAGGGGCAGGGAGTATCGGCAGAGACAACAGTTCAAGAAGGACACAACAGCAGGAACAGGATACAAGAGAGGCGTCACGTACACCCGCGGTTGACGCAGAGGAAGAAGAAGACGAAGATAAAGACGAAGAAAAAGAACACGAAGAAAGAGACCGAAAAAGAGAAGAAGACGAAGAAGAAGAGGAAGAAGAACCAGACGAAGAAGAGGAGCAAGAACACGAACAAGAAGAAGATGAAAATAGACGAGAAGAAGGACCAGAAGAAGAACACGAAGAAGAACGAGAAGACGAAGAATACGAAGAAGACGAGCAAGAAGAAGGCGAAGAAGAGGAAGAAGAAGAAGAGACGGGAAGGAAAAGACAAACGGAAAAAGGAAAGCAAAAAGAAGTTGAAAACGGAGAAGCAGAAGAAGAACAAGAGGAAGAGGAGGAACCAGAAGGACGCGGAGCAGAAGAAGACGAAGAAGAGGAGACCGGAAAAGAAGAAAATAAACAAGAAAAAGAGGACAAAGAAAAACACCGAGATGAAGAAGAACAAGAAAACGCAAAAGCCGAAGAAAAAGAAGAGGAAGAAAAGAGAGACAAAGAAGAAGAAAAAGAAAAGGAAAAACCAGAAGAAAGCGGTATCATGGGGAATACAAGAAATACAATAGGCAGGCGGCAAAGAGGAAGACAACAGCGAGCCCGCAGCCGACGCCTTGCATCGTTTGTTCCGGTTGTTGGTGATAGTATTATGTTTTCAAGCAATACACGTAAAGCGGAAGCAGCAGCAAAAAATAATATTAATGTCGTCGCTGGAAATAACAGGAAAACGACACAAACGTCCCGGGTTCCTGTTGCTGCTGATGCTGCCACCATCACTAGCAGCAACACGAACAAGAACAAGAACAAGACCGACAGCAACAACGAGAACAAAATGAGTACTTTTTCTCCTCGTCGTCTCAGAGGATCAAAGCTGCCTTATGCATATTTTATAATGGGTGTAAACCAATGGCGTCACATCAACGACCCTGTTCATCAGCTGAAGATGGATACTGCAACATCTCGAGCAGCAGAGAAAGCAGCAGCAAAAGCTAAGGGGCCCATACCCCGGGAAAAGGGTTATTTAGATCCAACTACTGGTTTATTCGGTATACCCACCCCTATGGGGCCCCAGACGTACAGATATGATTTAAAAGATCATCAGAAGAAACCACTTGTTTCTCCTGTAGAAATACGCCAGCTAGATATGTGTTACCGACAAGAAAAACGAAAACCTCTCGTGCAGTGCCCAGAAGGATTTACTGCTAA